GATACTGGACATATGTCAAACGCTCAAGAGCCCGTCAAACAGAGGGCCTTGCATTGGCTACTTGAACGATGACCCATGGAGATTCCACATACATGAATCGATACACCGTCATCAATCGCCTAGTATCCGCAAGATTATGTCTCTACGGGAAATAATGAACAAACGGCTACAGAGTGGTGTTACCTGCGGGGAAAGGTACGTGAAGTTGATGGTCGCCAGGAGTCATCACATTGACTATTACTAGGATAGCGGTCGCGCTGAGACTGGCAGTGGCAGTGTTACAACTTCACGGCACGCCGTGGATCAGTTCCAACTACGGCCTTGGTCATTTGTTTTTCCCCACAAACGGCTCTGCGCCAGAAATACCGTTATTTGAGCCAGCCTACGTATCGCGAACGTTCATTACCGCCAATGTGGCGAGCGTAGAGCCTCCTGTAGTATCAGAGGCAAGGATCAGAGGCAAAAACCCGCTGGTGTATGCGCTTGGTGTTTCGCTCATGGAACTGGTCTACGGTCGACTGCCGGCTTTGGCGAAGTCTTCTGAGCTTGACCCTCAGGGTAATGAGACACCAAATACCGAGATGCTTGTCGCAGTGAGACTGTTGAAGCAGATCAGAGATGATGAACCCGGTAATTATGCGCATGCGACAGCATCATGTGTTCATTGTGAGTTTGGGTATCCGTATGACCATAGCTTGGATGACGATCAATTTCGGGCCAAGTTCATTGAACGAGTTATCATCCCCTTGAAAGAGGATTACGATGCGATAGCTTCAGCAAGGGGAAGGGTTAGCGGATATCAGTGCAATTAATCAATCAGGAGTTCCGTTTGACAAGTACGTTCCTTACGGGCACCTATCCACGTCGTCAATAGACTTCCAACTTTCTCATTGTACAGTTGTAGAATGATGGTATATTTCAATCAATAGTGTCTAATATAGCGCTATGACCAATGGTTGCAGATACCTCGCAGCTACGTTCGGACACATAGGCTCGCCCTCGAAATGACCAAAAGGGCTGGTAGCCATGGTCTACATTCTCTCGGGACCCGCCCTCCAATAAAGGGCGACTGCTGGCCATTCAAAAGGGTGTTACACAAGGCTAATTTAAATGTAATCGCCCTAGGCCTAACGCAGACTAAAGCAGTCCAATCCTCTCTCGCCCCCGCCTTCAGCTCACAGCCTTCCTGCTTCTAACACCTCAACTGATTAGATTCATCAATCGGTTCAATCGTTTTTGCGCTTTTTCAAGATGGATTCTGGACTCGCAACTCTCTACACTTCGTGTTACGGCTCTTTTCAGGCCCTGTTATCCGCTGTCCGCTCACCAAATCGTGACATCGGTGATCAGATGCCGCCCAGCATTATCGAATCGGAGCTGGACAAATTCATCCTTTGGTCAAACAATGTGGGCGCCATCTACTCTGGAGAATCTTGTGAGATATCTCTCGATTATCGTTTGCGCAAGTCGCCTTTTTACAAAGAAAAGGTATGCCTATTATCCATAGTTTTCCTCGACAAAGATCTAGGGCAAGGCTTACCGTGAACAGGTAATGGACTTTCTCAACAACCTAAACAAATATGTAGGTATCATCCCATTTTCCCCTTCAAACCTTATTTGGCGCTCTCAATATGAATTGCCACGAATTTCTTCCGGTCCGACGGGCTCTGTACTGCCTGTATCAACTTTGGTCGTCATCAGTGTCGATTCTCATTGTTAACACACAAGCTTACCAAATGATACAATAGCTCTTAAGGGGTACGTATATTCTGAATCCGTCACCTTTGTCTCTGCTAGACGTTGACCCTATTAGCAACGCAGATCGTCAAGAATGAAGCGAAGCCCTTTGAGGATCTGATAGACGCACATCTGGGTGTTGGGTTTATTGACTCCACAGAGGATTTTGACAGGATTCCTGACACAGATTCTGATACCAGCGAAGAACAGGATGAGGAACAAGCTGAACGGCAGTCTCGAGTTTTGGATGTGCTCACCTCCGCTAAAAGTAACGACCTGGAGCTACCAAAGACACTGCAATTAATACAGCTCATCGTCAAGTCCCTATACAAACTGCCTACACGACGCCCGGCTGCAGTAGAACGAATCAGAGATCGGCTAACGTCACAATTTGCGCCATATCAGCAATCGGATATACAATTTGTACGGGATTTACACCCCGAGCTTGATACTGCTATAGCCGCTCGGCTTGGGCAGCTCGTGTCTCTTCGACGGCAGATCTTGGCTTACCAAGAAAGACACAACCAGAAGCTGCAACCAAAGTCGACAAGATATGGCCTCTCATCCAGGCTCACTGTAGACACACATCAAGAAGCGGCAGGGGTGGACTATACAATGGCCCACACAGAACAAGCATCTGAGATCTCACGTCCTTCAAAAGCTACGACGTATGAACATTCTCCGGATGGTCCCGAGATACAGAGCTTTGAATACCCCCCTTCAATCACATCTTCACACCACTCCAAAGCGTCTAGCTACGCGATAAACAGCATAGACGTCTCTATACCTCCAAGACCGAAGAATGCAGACGGAGTTCCACATACCTTCTTCCTCTGCCCCTACTGCAGAATCATGCAGTTCATACAAACGGAGAAATCATGGAAGAAACACGTCCTACGCGATCTTCGACCTTACGTCTGTACGTTTTCCGGTTGCGGGTTGCAGGACCATTTCTTCGAAAACCAAAACGCATGGTACTTGCACGAGACTCAGGAGCACCGCTTTTCATGGCACTGCAACGTAGAAGGGCATAGCACATACAATACGCAAGAGCTTTTCCTGGACCATATCTCGCAGAGTCATAGTACCAAGCTTTCTCGGGAGCAAACGACAGACCTAGCACCCATGTTTCGTCGTGCCGTCCACAACTCTACTGGAGGATGCAATTTGTGCTTCAGGGAATCTAAAGATCTTTGCAATCACGTCGCTCGCCATCTGGAACGAATCGCCTTGTTCGCGCTACCGCGATTGTCTGAGAACGACGCAGACTTGAAGTTGGCACAGAACGCACAGTCCTTGGAGGCCTTACTCAGTCATGACGGAAGCCTCTCAGCATCAGCGAAGTATGAGTCTGGCGACGAAGTCAGCGTTTCGCAGTCAACGAGTAAAGCATCTGATTCTGATGCTGAACCCGCGCCTGCCCCCGTCAAGGATGGGGAAATGCCGTCAGATGTACCTGATAATCATGTTCCAGATTCTGAAGATGTCAATTGGGGCGCTATCACCACCCAACTCTCTAAGGCTCGGAAGAACGACAGAGAGCCTGATGCTTCGCCGGAGAGCCTCCTGGACCAATGTTTTCCAGACACATTGCCTCAGACCAAGGGTGTGCGCTTCACGGAAGAGGATATACAGAAAATCGAGGACCTTTTACGGTGGTGTTCGAAGGATGCATGGGGTCGCATACCCAGGATATACATTGTTCTTCGATTGATCGGCCAATTAGATGCTATCGAGAAGTTCATCGAGGAAGAAATCACCGATATCTGGTTTCCATTCCATATACGTAGCTTAACGAAGCTGCTCACAGGGGAGATTGCTCAGACGCTATTTCTCGAGGTCCAAGAAGTTGTCTTCAACACTCAAGCTCTAAATGCGTTGTCCATCGAACGGGGAGAAGCGTCCCATGGCCACTTCAGCAACGAGAGCGATATACCATTGAGATTCATCGGTAGCCTGGGACGTACTTTCTCTGGGACAATTGATCGTGTCTCTAGCACGATCGATCATAAAGAGTATACCTTAAAAACCATTGGAAGACCTCTGCACATACCCAGGAATAACCATAATGCTATACGATATTTCGAAATGGAACTCCGCATCATGAAACGTATATGGGAAGGTCACCACCACATTGTCAATCTTGTAGCAAGTAAGGATATTTGTCCACCATTATCATTCGTCAAGTAGACTGATTGTTCTTGAACAGGTTACACCAGTCCCGAGTCACTGGCCATGATTATGTCTCCTGTAGCAGATCAGTTCCTTTCGAAACGTCTCGATAATTCAGAAACTGATGAAGAACGGTGGCGCTTACGCCCACATTTTGGCTGTCTGATCTCTGCGCTAAGGTAAGCGTATTGTTCAACCGTATTCGTTATGTTGGAAAGCACTACTGATCACATGCAACTTATAGCTTCCTCCACAAAAGCAGAATTTGGCACAACGACATAAAGCCTGATAATATAATGGTGCGGGGTCATGATGTATTCATCACCCATTTTGAATCCTGTTCCGACTGGTCCGACAGGTCCGACAGCGATGGCAACGAGACTGAGGGACGGCCTGATTCGCTCACACGAGCCTATGCAGCACCAGAAGTAATAGCGTGGGAGAAACGAGACTCGTCTTTAGACATCTGGTCGCTAGGTTGCGTGTATCTGGAGATGTGGACAGTGCTGAGAGGAGGAAGTATGAATGATCTGGAAGCATGCGCGGTCGAGGAAACGGGCTACAGTTCACCAGACATCGATTTTGAGGCTTGGATCGCACGCATGGAAGCACTTCCCGGCCCACCGTCGGACAACTTACCGAGCGAATGGATACGACAAATGTTACAACGCGACCGCAAGCTGCGACCGACGGCTGATGCTCTCCTTAGTATCGTTCGAGACGCCAGTACGAAATTCGACGCAGAACACATGTTCATTGGAGAATGTTGCCTTCGATGGGGATAACAGCGCTGAACGTGACGCATCAAGTACTGCAGACGCCTAGCAGGACGGTTGAAGACAGGATGCAAGACACAGGCTGCATACTGCTGAGCTGTAAGGCCAACGGCAGGCGCTTCACTAGGCTGTCGCTATCGCAGCAGATCCAGAAAAATACACAAGAGAAGGGGTGTTGTAATGAAGGGTATCACATGTCATTCACAATCTAACATCACCATCAACTATGCTGTCCATGTCTCATGCAATGCTGAACTTTTCTTTGCCCCATTTCCCATCCCAAAAACGCCATGAAAATGCACACATGCCATCACACTACCACCCCTGCCTCCTCCCCTTCTCCCCCGCACTCCTCGCCTTCTTATTAACCCTCTTAACATCATGCCTCCTCCTCTTCTCCTTCATCACCTTCTCCGGATCCAATACAGCATCCACCTTCCTCTTGCGCCTCCTCTCCTCCCTTCTCTCCCTAACACCACGCTGCACCTCAGCCATAACATTAAGATACTCCTGCGTACCAAGCCGCTTCTGCAACGTATTCATGACCTCGCGCGCCTTATCCGACAGCGCTTTGTACGGGTCTATAGGCGGGTTGTTGTTGGAGGTGGGAGCGAGGGCGGCGCTGGCTTTGGGGAACGTGGCGTCGGTGGAGGTTAGGGTGGAGAGTGTGGTTAGGAGGTGGGGGAGGGATGATGAAAGCGGTTCTAGAGGGAATTTCGCGGCGATGGTGTCGAAGAGGGACATTATGGTTGTTTTGGCGTTCATGGTGGATTTGTCTTTGCGGACGATGCCTGAGAGGCGGATCATGAGGCGGTGGATGGCTGTTGGTGGGGTTTCTTCCGCTCTCTCCGTCTTCTTCGTTTCGGGTGGAGGTGAAAAGCCACTGAAGTCGTCTTCGTCGTCTACAGCTGATGCGGCGCCGTTTGTGGGGGCGGCGACTTCTCCTGCCTCTTCCTCGTCGTCGGTTTTCTGCCAGTGCCACTTTGCGTTGTTGACGGCGAGGCAGCGCGCGAGGAAAGCAATGTTCTTTACGCTTTGCATACAGAGTTGTTCTGAGACCTCGGGGTTGAGCAGGTTCCTCAGGAAGGCGTTGCAGAGCTGCGTCATGCTCTGCTCTGCTAGTTGCAGACCCCCTGACCCCTCCAGAGGCAGAGCGCCAAGTCCAGTGTCCTTGTTCGATACACCAAGATGGGCAAAGTATGTACCCAACAGCTCCGCAGCCTTGAGCTTAACCCATAAGTGTGGGTAGGTTGCGCTAGCTTGCACTGCGGTCCATAGGCTATCCTTGTTCGATGCAAACATAGTGTCGGTGTACTTCTTGCAGATCTTGGAGAGCAAGGTGAGAGAGTAGTACAACAACTCCCAGTCGTCTTCGTCGCGTCGTGTCAGGCACTCATCGATCGTTGCGTCCAGCCGGTCAAGAACGTATGCCACCTCCTTTGGTTCTTCCTCTTCCTCCAATGCTTCGAAGTAGAACCCGAAACACTGGATACCAAGACGCTTCAGGCCAACATTATCGTCCTGCTCCAACCAGCTCTTGAGGTCAGCCGCAAAACTTTGTAATCGCTTGTCGCTGGCATGTTGGAACAGTCTCTTGATGAGCAAGCTGGCCATTTCTCGGCACTTGCTTGAGTCGTCATTCGCAACAGTGTTGATCAACGGGAGGAACATGATACCGTGGTACTCGTACTGAGCCTTCTCGGGGAAGCGAGGTAACGCCTTTCCAATGATGAGGTCGAGCGCCTCCATGACTGACTGCCTGCCTTCTATGTGCTCGTACCGAAGGTTCTTGAGGAGGAACTCAATCTGCTTCTTGAAGCGCTTCTCGCTCTGTGTGTACGAGGTCAAGAATTGGAAGTAGTGCGAACGGGCGATGTCGCGCGCGGATTTTGTCTGGTTGGTGATCATCATTTCCGCCACCCTGTCCATGGCTTCGTACATCTCAGGAACATCAATGTGACGGTTCATGACAGCCTTGAGGAAACCAAAAGTGACACCTGATCGATCTGGCTCGTCCAGATCAGGAATCATGCGCTTGAGGAGATGACCGACATCTCTTTCCTTGATCGGCACGTTTGGTCGCTCGCGTAGCACCGCTGAGACTAGCTTCAATGAGGCTTGCGCAAGCTCCGTGTTGGACGACAGTGCGCCCTTGATGGCGCGCATCGCTTCGTCGATGTACACGGGACAGTTGGTGTCCAGCTCTGTCATTGGTACCTTGATGATGGTGGAGAGAAGGCGCACAGCCGAGACCTGAACTTCTTCTTGTCCTTGCACCATAGCATCGCCAATGATCGGAAGGAAGCCAGCCAAGTTCTGGGGAGTTTGGAGGTCTTCGTGTTTGCGGAGCACAGTCCGAAGAATATCCATGCCGAAGCGGATCATCTTGAATAAATAAGAGTTGGTGCTAAGTCTCGCGCCAGACTTGGCCGCTCCACGGTTGTTGATCAGATAACGCTTGTTCTTGGGGTCGATCTTGGCCTTCTTCTCGGTGGTCGTGGTTGCAGCGTAAGCCTCCTGGATGAGCTCATAGCAGAATACCAAGATATCCCTGTTGTTCACCGTGGGGTTCTGAAGAACACCGAGTCCGATGCGTCGCAAAAGCTCGTCGATCTTTTGAACCATCCTTGCATTGAGCTTCTCGATCAGAAGAGACCTGATTGGAAGCACGAGCTTGATGATATGCGCAGGGGTGGCACACCGTGCTACGATGTCCATGGAGTCGAAAGATTTGCTGCTCTTCACCTCCTTCATCTTAGATATATATTCTTCAGCATCCTTCTCCTGGCCTGCAGCGCCGAAAGTGTCGTCCATGATCTAGATACTACGTTAGTTTGTTCTCAAAGTGGATACATTCCTTTAGGATACTTACAACATCGACTAGCTCCACCAAACAGTAATCAAGATCACCTGGGTTCGTTTGGTCGGCGAGCTTGACCAGAATGGTATGCAAAGTGAACGACAGAACGTGGAGCTGGTAACCGCGTTGAAGCGCAGTCCGCAAAGCCTTCAGGATGAAGCCCACGTAGCCAGGACCCAGTATCGTAGCGATATCACTGAGGGTGTTTCTCGACATGTCGCGTGCTTCTTGCGCGCGGCTCTTCAAGATGTAGCAGATATCCAGAAGAACGCCCGGTAAGCGTGTCTCGATCTCGAGCGGCGGCAGAATCAAAAGAATCTTGGCAATCGCGGTTGCAATCGGCACTCGTAAACTGACGGTAGCCTCGTCCTTCTTGTGTAGGAAGTTGGTCAAGTCGGGCAGGAAGTTGCTGATTAGGTCGGTGCTAAGTTTGTCCTGTTGTGGGAGCGTCTTGGCCAAAGTCGATAAGGGCTGGTCAATTTCCATAGCGTCCCCAGCTTCCTCGGTCTCGGATGCGCCTTGAGAGGAGAGCTTAGCAATGTAACCTTTGGCACGTCCTGCTTGGTTCAAACCGTCCATGAGACCTGCGATCAATCGGATGATAGGCTTTTGCAGGTCTTCCTTGCTTGTCAGGTAGCCGATGTAGCGTTTGAGTAGGGAACGGAACTGCGGCCACTCAAGGCTCTCGGTCAAAGATGTGAGTGTCTTGATCGTCTCTCCCAGAAGGCTGTCTGCAGCCTCGTCGTCACCCTTGTTGAAGACGAAGTGCTCGAGGAGTGGTATCAGGATGTGATAGATGTTGGTACCTCGCAGGTGGAACGCGTGGGTGGCCAGACGGCGCAAGGCTCGCAGTCGTCGATGACCCTGGATGTGCAAAATGTTGCCAAAGAACGATGCCTCGTCATCTTCTGAGAGGAGGACATGCAGATCGGCTACGGGAGTCCAGTCTGAATGTGTCTTAACCAGATGTTCCAGGACGGCAAGGTATTCGACCCGCACAAGCTCCGAGTTCTCCCGCATACCATTCTGAATCCCAGGTAGGACTGCAGATGACACAAATTCCTTGAACTGTTCGCTCGACGCGACCTCGCTGAAACGACGTAGAGATAGTGATGCATTGACTCGAATGCTGAGCTCGTCGTTATCCTTGATGAGATACAGCATGTTGTAAACTAGAGGCTTCCACTGTGTGAGCGTGTATGATCGATAGCTTTCTTCGTTTATGGCATTGAAAGCTTGCGAGCGGCGTTCAAAGTCTGGTTCATCGAGCCGTCCAGTAGCGAATGAATTCAGATCATGGCACAGCTTTGCGATTACTGTGAGATCGCCGTTGGTGTCGGAGAGATCCTGGAGAACATCGCAAAGCAAGCTTCGGGCTGTTCGATCCTGAACGAAACTGAACATAGGAGAGATGGCATCGTAGGTTGTGTCAAAGAGCTCAACCAAACTCTGGCTATCACATCGCTGGATAAATTCATGAAGGATCTTGAGTAAGCCAAGCTTAGTACGTGGGTTGACGCGCTTTGAAGGCTGGCGAAGCAAGAAAGTTGCGATTTCGATCATGCTTCGGGATTCCGTGGCACCAACTACATGAGGCGCTAGGTCTGCCACCGTTTGTACACCGGCTTCGAGCACTTCTTTACCGGGGCTTTGGCGAAGTAGTTGACCAACTCGGTGGAGTATCGCAGTTGAGTATGGCTGGATGATATCGGTATGGATACGATTCCTGAGGAGTTTCGACTCTGTCGTCGGTGTCTCATCTTCTTCGGTGACAAGAGAAACGATGCTTCGAACGATGTCGTTCAAGACAAAGCACTTGACCTCGTCCTTAGCCGATGGTACCTCCAGGCAGTCGATGATCTTGTGCAGAATGGCAGGGTTGAGTTCTACCAAGAACGGAGCTGTCCGGCTTGATTTAGACCATGCCGCGAACAATCGGAGTAGACCTGAGACGGACTGGGCTGTCTCAATGGGCAGCTGCTCGAGCCTGGGCTCGACCATCTCCTTGACTAGAACACCTGCGTACGGTTTCCAGTCAAAGTCCGGACAGTTTTCAAACAGCCTACCCAGAATCTGCAGCGCCCGCTGCCGGATAGTCTTCATTAAGGAGGTCTTTGTCGCTCGACCTTCGTCATCTTCGCTTTCGCTTGGTCTTGACAGTTCTCGCGATGCCTTGATGGCTGAGTATAGAATGGGATCCACGACGATTCCGGCAAAGGGCGCGAATGTAGTTGCAAACGTACTCAACAAGTCATCAAGTAGGTTCAACATTCCCACCTGCTTTCGCGGGTCTACAAGCTCTTTCTGCAGCAGCTCTTCATCGACCGCGGAGTCTTTGAGAATTGAGATGCGACCTAAAGGCCCGAACGCGATCTGCAAGAATTGGCGTATAGCGTCATCTCCGAATCTGGTCTTCAGGCCGACAAAAACGGCCTTCCTCTTCGACTCCAGACCTCGCTTGCCAGCTATGACTTTTCCGTATAAGAGTCGCAGAACAATCGGAAGCACTTGATCGACGTCGGTATCCTGCAGCTTTCCTTCGCTGAGGAAGATGGGTAGCTCGTCACGGAATCGCTCATCATCAAGCAAGTTGAGCAGTTGTTCTTGGTGTTTGACAATGACTGGATCTTTCCACGTGAGAAGTGCCTTCAGAGCGGCTTTCTGGATCTCGATGTCTCCGTTTCCTAGTAAAGCAAGCAGAGCTTCGCGAACCTCGTCCGTACGGTACAGGACCTTGGGGTTATTGAACTTGGCGAAGATTGAGAGCATTGCTTTCTGGTCTTTCCTTGACCAGCGATCCTGCAGAATGGCATCCGTATCTTGTTCGGGATTGGGCGCATCTTCAGGCTCCGGTGTGGCCTGGGTCAGTGCCCAGTTTAGCAGCACGGGGACAAGAAGGCGAGAACGCTTCTCCGCGATGTGTGGCAGGGAATCCAATACTCGGAGAGCTTGTGTCCTGCTGAAAGGATTGTGGAAAGGTACTTCGGCATGGTTGTCCTTGAATAAAGTCTCCAGCTGTTCCTCAGTACTGTCAGCCTGTGACTGTACATTGGCCACACGCTCTTGCAGCTCCATGAGGTTGGTGCACTCGAAGTCTGTGGCGTAGGGTCGCTGTGTGGATTCCGGTTGAGATGCGTTCGTGAAACTTTCGCTGGCATCGGAAGCACTCAGCCATTCAAAAACATGTTGGGTGACGAAACCCTCGCCCTCTTTTGTCTGGCAAATGGCCTTCAAAGCTGCGCAACTGTCGTTCCAGACCGAAGCTAGTTTGACGTGTAGCAATCCTAGACAGAAAGCGGGTATGGCCTCCCCTATCCATTCATTAGAACATACACCTGGGTACAGTTTCGCGATTTGCCCTATGCGCATCGCAATGGATCTCTGAGTCTCTAGATTCAGTGGTGTCTGCTCGATCAGCATCGCGGTATGCAGTATGTCCTGATGTTCCTGGCTCTGCCCTGCAATGATCTTCAAGACTTGTATAGCTGTGAATCTTAGGTCATGTGATGGAGACCCCAAGCAGTGCATTAGTGTTCGCTTCAGGGGTTCCATGTGAGAGCCGGTAATGTCGACTTTGGTGTTTTCCCGCTCCAATAAGCGCAGGAACGCGCGCCAGAAAGCTAGAGAATGGCCATATACAGGAGATGCTTGACACAACGCAGGCCATAAACTTGTCGTCAAGTCATCACTGTCGCCTTTACTGATGAGGGCCTGAAACCCGTTGCCGGTGGCAAATATGTCTACAGTTTGTCGGGGCTTTGCGCTGTCGGTGTCTAAGGCGTTCTTGAGTAGCTCTGCAAGGTCGGTCATTATTCCGTGGGTCTTATCGTTTCCTAGACGCAGCGTATCTACAGCGAATAGCAAAGCATTGCAGTAAAATGTTTCGTAATCTGAATCGACATCGCCGCGTACAGACTCAAGAAGCTTGTCGAACGGTTCATGTACGATCACTTGCCATTGATCAGAAGCCTGTAGATCGACTTTCGCCAGCGCGCTGTTGTCGTTGTTGTCGCGCTTGTAGTAAAGTCGAGGGAGAATAGCGCAAAATTGTGATCCGTGCTCGTGTGCCTTCTGCGCGATGAACCTCTTGAAATAAGGAAGTAGCAACGTCCTGAATCTCTCCACCCCTAGGTCAGCAAAGAGATTGCAGAAGGGTAAGAAGTATGATTCCCAGGGGCCGCGGGTAAGCCCTTCGAGCAACTTTCCGTATGGTGTCGCTGCGCCAAGAGGACAGTATTGGAACACAACAGAGACGACCGACAAGAGCTCCCACGCATCAACGGAATCGAGAGTGGATGATTCCTTGGTTGAGTCCAGCAAATGACTGACCAAGCTCAGCACGGGTTGCCAATCATCGACACGATCACCTTGTCGCACACCACAAGCGACTAGCAGCAGACGAGACGAAAGGCCCATGTAACGCGTGTCGGAAGATGTCTTGTCGATCTGTGCGAGGATCACTTCGAGGAGGGGCGCGAAGTTTTCTGCGTCGGTATGATGGATAGCAGCGGTGATGACGCCAGTCACCACGGGCTCCAGAGGTGGGATCCGGAGTTGGACGTGCTCTTCGTTGTATGTCTCTGCTAGGAGCTCCTGTAGTATGGCCGTCGCGCTGGAGTGGAATCCGCGCTGTACGCCCTTGAGCGAGTCGGTCAACAGGTACATGAGACCCTGCTGGAACGCGTAGTCCTTGCCCGACTCTTGCTGGTCCTTCAGCTGGTCCGATATGTGCTTGATGATCGTCCTGAGAGGCATCTTGTCGCGGTGGTAGCCGGCACCGGCTTTGCGGACGAGGAAGCTGAGCGATTCGGCAGCGAAACGGGAGACGAAGGCTTTCTGGCGCTCTTTGCCCAGCAGAGGCGACATGAGATCGAAGACCGGGCGCAGGTTGGGGACTAAGAGGCGCGAGAGGTACTTGAACAGCCATGCAAGACAGCCAAAAGCCCACTCTATCACCTCTACATCAGCATGTGTAGCTGCCAGATGCGACACCGTCTTGACTGCCTTTTCAAAGTACTTCTCGAACCTCTCGCCCATGTCGTGTGCCAGATGCGCCGTGAGACTGAGCAGCGGTTCCTGGCTGAACTTCTCGCCCTTTTCGATGTATTCTACGAGCAGCTCGAATATGCGGTCGCTGTGGTGGAGGACCTGGGGGAGGCTGTCGCATAGTGGCGCGACCTTGCGGGCGAAGGTGGTGAAGCCCTCGGACATGTTGAGCTCCCGCCACTCATTGAACGAGTCGCGGAAGTAGGAGAAGGTGGACTCGAGTTCGGCATCGTCGAGGAAGGTGCTGCGACCGCGGCGGATGGGTTCGATCTTGAGCTGGGCAATGCGCTGGGTGAAGCCTTTGAAGACATGGTTGCGCGTCGATTCGGTTCCGCCCTTGACTCGCTTCTGGGGGCGCGCTGATTTGGCGACCTTAGATTTGGGCTTTGCAGCCGGCTTCGCGGTTTGGCCTCTCGACATGGCGGCCATGGTGTGGTGGAGTGGTGTGAGGGCTGGCGTGGTTGCACCTTCTTCACTCGATGATGCTCCACTAGAATTTCCTGGCGCTAACAAAAAAGCTGGACCCTGGCACC